CTTCCTCCACCTCCTCCACAGATCCCACTCCGTTCTAGCACTGGTGATGTTACCTTGTCGGATAATAAAACGTCTGCAGAAAACAGCCAAGCTCAGAGAGCACCAAGGACCTTGCAATCTTCCTCCACCTCCTCCGCACACCCCACTCCCTTCTAGCGCTGATGATGTTACCTTGTAGGATAATGAAACGTCTGGAGAAAACAGCCAAGCTCAGAGAGCACCAAGGACAAACAACCACATTCTTGGATGTATTTTCAGTGTTTTTATTTCCACTTGGAAATTAAAAAAAAAAAAAAACCTTATCTCATCCCCATTTTTTTCCCTTTCCTTTTTCTTTTTACAAAGTGAAATTCTTTGCGAAACTGAGAGCTCACTTTCCCACCGTCAAAAGTTTAAAAAAACAAACACCAAAAACGTAACACCCAGTCGTTGCGTGATCAAAGCAAGATCGACAGATGGAAACCGTTGTGCCCACACCCAACGGAGAATTGGCTTCCAGCCCACTCCGTCACACGGGTAGAAGCACAACCATGTGCATCTCTGAACCTCGGTTTCCCTATAAATAGAGCCCGCGTTTCATTCACAGGAGTTATGGGAAGGTTCTCCAAAGATGCCGTACGATAAATCTATTTATGGGAAGCGACGGCCCTTTCAAAATAAACTCTCGAAGGCTATTCTGCCTTGCCCAGCCTTAGCAAAGGATGCCACACACATAGGAGACCGTTCCTACTGCTAGAGACCTTAAAATGGGTGGACTTTGACTCCCAGAATTCCCCAGCCAGCAGGGAATTCTGGGAATTCTTCCTCTTAAAATGGAGGAAGTTGATAAGCGCTATTCCGTTTCTCACGGCTTCCTGGCAGCTTGCAAGCTACTGGGGTGATAGCACCTCCCTTTTCTGCATTCTGTGAAATGTACTTGGCTCTAAAACTGAAATCAAGGTGAAAAGAGGAAGATTTAGTTCATCTGAATGAACTAAAGGTGGGGTGGGTGGATTGTACGGAGTTAGATGCTATGTAGCCATAACAAAATTCTTTCTAGAAAGCCAAGGTCATCCTTTGTCCCTGCACCTGACCAGAGTCAGATGAACTAAAAACTAAATTTAGTTCAAATCCATATGCAAATCAACTTCCATTATCCAGGGTTTCAAGACAGTAGATCTCATTTTGGGAGCACACCTTCCTTCCTTTCTTCTTTTCTTCCTTCCTTCCTTCTTTCCTACTTTCCTTCCTTCTTTTCTTCCTTCCTTCCTTCTTTTCTTCCTTCCTTCTCATTCACGTCTCCACCCTCCCTCCTTCCCCTTTTGTCTTCTTTTGTTCTTTCCTTCCCTTTTAATCTCCCTCCCTCCCATTCTCTCTCCTCCCTCCCTGTCTCTCTCCCTCCCTTCCTTCTCTCCTTGTCTTTTTCCCATCCTGCTTCTGAATTTGTTGGGGGTTTATGATGATGGTTAATTGTGAAAAACATGTCTATCAAAAGGGAACGAAGGAAGGAAGGAGAGAGAGAAAAAGGAAGGAAGGAAAGAAGGAAATTAAATTAAGAAGGAAAACTTTTCAAAGTACAGAGAACATGCAAACACTTTTAGGTAAAGTGGGGAAACTTAATAATTAGTCCGTAATTTATATGCACCTCCTTAATTGGATTGCTCATAATGGGAGCCTTCAGCTCAGTGCTCATGCCATTAACTTCAATTTCACTCTGTCTATCCAGACAACCTCAAGATCTACCAGCTGTTAAATAAAGAAGAAAATTAGATTGACCAGAGAGGATCTCTCTTCTGATCTTTCCTGATTCATATGCTTCAGGTGCTCCCTATGCAAAGCGAAAAGAAATTATATTGAAGAGATCTTCCTTCCCTCCTTCCTTCCTTCCTTCCTTCCTTCCTTCCTTCCTTCCTTCCTTCCTTCCTTCCTTCCTTCCTTCCTTCCTCTCCCATACCTGGAGTGATTCGCATAAAACTAGTGTTCTAACCGAGGCTTCCCAAGAGCATGAAGCAAACTCCTGGTCCCGACAAAAACCCCTTTTATTAATTGACGGTGAATTCTGCTCATTCANGATAGATAGATAGATAGATAGATAGATAGATAGATAGATAGATAGATAGATAGATAGATAGATGATAGATAAAATGGATGGAGATGGATGGATGGATAGATGGCAAGGAACATTTAACTGAAGGACTTCTCTGGAACGACAACCAATTGTGAGGTCCAAAACCTCATGAGATCTTAGATAACCAAGATTTAATTGATTACCCTGTACTAAACCGCCCACCTCAGGTCATAGAATTTGGAGACAACCACACAGCCAACAAGTGCTGTCCCCCCCCCCTGCCCCCAAATTCAGTTCCAGTTCTGTTGTCTGCTACCGTGGTCCCCGTCTCAAGCAATTCTCTCCAGCTGGAACCCATCAACCGTCTCTTCCTAAAGGAAGTTCTTCCTATCTTCTCCGCCTTCGGCCCGGCCTCCTTAATTACAGCGCAAGCATCCCTAATCTGGAGCTTGCGTGACAAAGTGGATGTCCCCCTCCCTTAACTGATTTCGTTCTGTCTCATTGCGCCGTCCCCTTATCTCCCTGTATTTGACAAGTTCCTTGGGAGTTTCGCTGTCTCTTAACACAGATAATTGCTGTTCCAAATCAAATAATCAATGCATATTTAAACAACGATCAGACAATTCCTCTCCGTTGCACGGGACCTGTTAACACTCAGCGTCGATCCCTTCGCAACCCATCCATATTTCGCTTCGCGGCGCGTTTCCGAGAACAAACTATAATTTACCGTTCCCGACAGATCAGTAACAAAGATGACATGGGGGGGGGGAGGGGGAGAAAGAAACATCACACACAACCAGCAAATAAGATGAAACGAAAAGCATTCTGTGTTTTTCCAGGTTATATAAGAGATAAAATATTAACTCGTTTCCCCCCCTTCCTTTCCCCCCATCACTGTTCTAACGAAGGCTCATTTCAGAATCTTAATAAGATTTGGGACTTGCCACCGAACACCTGAGCCGCCTCTCTTTTTTCTCATCAAGTCACATCTGGAGGAACGTGTCACCTTTGGGATGTTACACATTAATGAGGAGGAGACATGATCATTTTATTGTGGAGCTGGCAGCAGATTCGGACAGTGAGGAGGTTGGGGAGGAACCTGGGCCAGTCCTGGAGTCTGGGGAAGGCTCTGATGAGGGCTCTGTGTCGGAGGCAGAGAAGGGGCCAGAGCCATCTGATAGTTATCAGCTGCCTTCGGACTCAGACATCAGAGAGGCAGAAAAACAACTGAAGCCATTTCCCAGTGTGAGCATGCGCAGAGTTGCCAGACAAAAGGAGGAGCTAAAGAGCAGGGGTTGACTTGGGAATAAGGCCACAGGTGGACGATGAATGGCCCCTCCCAGAGGAAATAAAAGAGGAG